CAGCTATGGGAGACGAACAGAAAAGCATAGTAAACAAGAGGATGCAGATTTAAGTCCTTGCCTTCTGCATTGATGAGTGTTTCTAGAGATAAGGTCAACCCACCTTCTTCCTGGTACAGAGAGGGTGACACATTTACAAATGGAGATTTCTCTTATAAATGTAAATGTCTCTTACAAAGGGTCACTTCTACTTTTACTTGGTTTTCAGAGCTTTAATAAGAATGGGCTTAGCAAGGAGCCTCCCAGTCTATCCATACCCAGAATTATCTATGGTCATGGCCTGTCCTGGGGTCAGACCTTCTATCTTAAATTCTTTTAGGCAGTTGGGGGTGGGGGAGGTCAAAGTTTCTTTCAGAGAAAATAATCACAGTAAAGAGACATATTTTGAGGTGGCCAATTCTGATGCCCCACAGTATCTTAAGATTAAGATCAAAGACTCAACTTTTTCAACATATGTGAAAAGACAAACTGCTAGACAGTCTATCAGCCTGGCCAGGTCTGCATGTCTCACAGTCACAGTAAGCCCCCCCATTGTAGTGTCATGAAGCTTCTATTGCAAGAATAATTCTTCTCTGCTCTCCAGAAGGCTCTCCTGGGCAGGAAGTGGAACAGACCCCTTGTCTGGCTTCTTCCCAGGTTCTCACTCACATCTTCTGTTATCAGAATAGCCCTCAACTGCCCTTCAGTCAAGCCCGGGGTTCACAGATTCGGATCCCGGGCGCGCACCAACACGCCACTTGTTAAGCCATGCTGTGGCTGCATCTCATATAAAGTAGAGGAAGATGGGCATGGATGTGAGCCCAGGGCCAATCTTCCTCAGCAAAAAGAGGGGGATTGGCATCAGATGTTAGCTCAGGGCTAATCTTCCTCAAAAAAAAAAAGTGGACACATGAGTTCCAATAAGAATATTTTCATATTTCTTTTTTTAAAAACATACATTTCCTGGGGCCGGCCCAGTGGCACAAGCAGTTAAGTGCTAGCACTCCACTGCGGCTGCCTGGGGTTCGCCGGTTCGGATCCCGGGCACACACCGACGTACCACTTGTCGAGCCGTGCTGTGGCAGTGTCCCATATAAAGTAGAAGAAGATGGGCATGGATGTTAGCCCAGAGCCAGTTTTCCTCAGCAAAAAAAGAGGAGGATTGGCAAATGTTAGCTCAGGGCCAATCTTCCTCACAAAAAAATAAATAAATAAATACATTTCCTGGTGCTGGCCAGGTGGCGTAGTAGTTAAGTTCGTGTGCTCTGCTTCGGAGGCCTCTGCTTCGGAGGCCTGGGGTTCGGCGGTTCTGGCGAACATCAAGCCATGCTGTGGCAGCGTCGCGTATATACAAAGTAGGGGAAGATTGGCACAGATGTTAGCTCAGGGACCACCTTCCTCAAGCAAAAAGAGGAAGATTGGCAGTGGGTGTTAGCTAAGGGCCAATCTTCCTCACCAAGAAAATAAATAAATGAATACATTTCCTGACTCTGTGAGAAAATAGCTCATGGTCCTAAAGCTCTCTCTCCTTTTCACGGCTTCTTTTGGGTATACATTCAGAAGGGAAAAATTACCAGTCTTTTCTGATGATCTATTTCTTTTGTTCATCTTCTACTGAATTTAAATGGGGTCATTATTTTAAGCTGGAATAAAATCATTTTATACACCCTGACTCAGAGAGGTCTTGTTTCCATTAAAATTATCTTTCTAAGCAGTAAAAATGGTTTTTAACACAATGGTTTGTGTATTATTTCCCAAGACACCTCTGTTAGTCCAAATGACATGCACACCAAACTTTTCCCTTTTCCACAAACTGTTAAGCAAAACAATCAAAAAATCAAAAAAGCAGTTGTTCTGTGTTATTTTTAACCCTCCTGGTTTGCTTTGTTCTTACCCAAGAGCCTTGCTTTGGAGACTCGTGTCCACTGGCAGGGTCCTAGCCAGACGACCCTGGTCTTTTCCTGAGAGGTAAGTATCATAAGTATCCTGTGTTCCCTAAATTGCAGCTCAGTAGCCCCACTGGGAAGCTGAGGCCTCCTAGTTTCAGGTTGCTCCAAACCCTAATGGCCTCCAGGTGTCAACAGCAGAGTGTGGTGGGCAGGGCTGGACCAGGGCCCAACTGTAGGTGGTTGCCAAGGCAGAACAGTTTGAGGGGTGTAGGAAGGCTCTTCCAGGGTCCTCAAAGTTGAATGGAAAGTGCATGGCATTGGCCCTGGGGTCAGAGACATGTGTAATCCTTCCAACACGGCTTGCAACATCAGGAAGGGCATGCAGACAGAGCCCATTGCCAGAAAAACAAACAAACACACACCTCTTAGCCTCTTGTCAATATATACAAAGTCCAAAGAATGGTGCAAAACATTCTTTTCTTTTCCTGTCGGGACACATCTCAGTTCAGCAGTCCTTTCTATTTCTTTTTTGGCTTCCTCCTTCCACTGCACCATGTGGTGAAGTCATTAGTCCAGGACAGACAGGTTCCTGGCTCCATCTCAGGCAGGCAAATGTGGACCTTTACGTTCTTCAGACAGATCATTTGGAAAACAACACACCCCCCCCCCCGCATATATTGATCACCTCTTGTAACATAGCATATTTTGCTAAAAGGCTCTCACTCCACCATCCTTGGCCAGAAGAAATCAGGACGCTATGGTCTTAAACAGTGCAGCAGAGAATTATTTTGTCCCTAAGTCTCCACCAGTAAGAGGTTTAAATGTAGTGGGATATTTCCACTATACCACACTTACTACTTTTAACATCAATAATAATTACAATAACAACTAGTATTTACTTTGTTTCTGACAGGTTTAAGTCCTTTATCACCTCTTTTAAGCCTCCCAACAATACTTAGAAATAGATTTTATAATTATCCAATTGTCCGATAAAGAACCAAAGAGGTTAATTTCCCCAAACTCACAGTAAATGGTGGCAACAGGATTCGAACCAGGAAGTTGGGTTACTGAGCCCATGTCTCAAGCGCCATATTTGACTGTCATGAGACTACATGTAGCCAAAGCGTACAAAATTTCAGTTATGCAAGATGAATGGGTTCTCAAGACCTAATGTCCAGCATGGTGAGGACAATTAACAATACTAAATGTATACTTGAAATTTGTTAAGAGGATAAATCTTAAGTCTCCTACCCCCATCCTGCCCCCACATGAATGGTAACTATGTAGAGGTGACGGATATATTAATTAGCTTAAATGTGGTGCTCACTTAACATGTATACGTATATCAGAACATCAAGTTGTACATCTTAAATATATACAATTTTTATATGTCAATGATATCTCAATAAAGCTGTTTCTAAAAAATGGATGGTTCTATTAAAAAAAATTCTCCAAATGGTAACATTTACCATAGTTGCTTTATACATACACACACACACACACACACACACACACGCTCACACACATTTTTTTTCTGAATCACTTTGGAATTGAGACATGATGTCCCTTTATTCTTAAATGCTTCCATGTATGTTTCCTCAAAACAAGGACAGTCTCTTATATAACCATGATACAATTATTATAATCAGGAAATTAACATTGATACAATACCTTCAGACCAGACACTTCTTCATGTTGTGAAAATCATAAATTTCTTGGAATAAAGATCATTTATTACTGAGCATGAAATACATCCACTGTGTAGGTAGAAAGAAAAAAGCATAAGAGCAAACAATTTAAGAAAAGAAATGAGTATTTTTGCATGTGTGTGTGAGGAAGACTAGCCCTGTGCTAACATCTGCCAATCCTCCTGTTTTTGCTGAGGAAGACTGGCCCTGGGCTAACATCCGTGCCCATCTTCCTCCACTTTATATGGGAGGCCGCCACAGCATGACTTGACAAGCAGTGCGTCAGTGCGCGCCTGGGATCGGAACCTGTGAACCACGGGCCACCGCAGCAGAGCACATGCACTTAACCGCTGCGCCACCAGGCTGGCCACAGAAGTGAGTATTTTTAAAAAGAGTTGTTGCATCAGCTTCTCTGTGGTTTCTGAAATGATGTTACAACAATCCTGATAATAGATTACTTTGTCACACCCCATCAACAAGTCAATAAGAATTTTTCAGCAACATAAATTTAATATTTTTTAAATATCCTCCACAATATCTATCAATTTTTTAAAAATGAGTATGCAGCACGAATATTTTTGAATGCAAATATGGATAAGTAAAATATCTTGCATTTATTTCGTCGACTATTTAGTGTTATAAAATGTGTGTGTGTGTATGTTTAATTTTAGGGTAAACCCAAATGTTTTTGATCAACACAAAATGACAGAATTGCAATACATTCTTCAATAGACTTGCATAATATATTTATATTAAATAAAAGATTTTCCAAGACTCATATGCTTTTTAAGCTCATGTATATCACACCATATCTTATAAACTGTGTGCCTTACCTCTTGTGCTAAAACTAGGCAGGTTCCAAATATTCTAAATATATAATTTTATGCTGTAGTTTAGTAAAGGCCACAAACCAATCAGATTTCCTCAAAGTTAATCAGCAGGATACTGAAGGATTTTCTTTTCTTGAGAAACAGAGCCAACACAGCTTGTATAACTATATATAATGCTACATCTCATTTGTTCCCCTACTTGAATGCAAGCTCCTCTAGGATAGGATGGTTTGTGCAAAGAGCTCAAAAAACATTAATTGAATAAATTGGGCTCTCTCTTTTGACCGCACCCCACCATACACAGATGACTACTACTAAAAAATACCAGAAGACAGCTATCCTGAAATCTCCCCATTTCCTGTCCCTGGGGAATTAAGAGTCAAAGTACAATCACCTTCAGAATCTCTTTTATTGAAGAGTTATCACCTGGTTCCCTTGATCACAAATAATTCAATGCATTCCTTAGGCTTTTGGGGGAGTTTGTAAAGGTGCATGAGGCGCCATGAACCTCACTGGCACAGTGATCTTATTCCAGGGACAAAGCTCCTTTTGTAAGAGAAGTTGTGTGTACAGGGCCAAATTCTCTTGCTTACTGATGGTTCTCCTCCATGCCAGCTACCCTTAACCCCATTAGAGCTGAAGGACCCTACCATAAAATGAGCCCGTTTCTTCTGCTATCCCCACACCCCTCCGCCTCAGAGTTGCTCCCATCCCTGTAGCAGAAAGTTGGCTGCAGGGCTGGGTTCGCTATCTAGATAATCTGTTGCCTGCAGAAATGCACTTGCTCAGTTCTTAACTCTGTACACTCCCAGTCAAGTGAGAAACTCAGGTGTTAGCAGTTGCTCTTGGAAGATCACTCTTTAGTTCTGTTCAGAGGCCAGTTGGTTGAGTCGCTTTACGATCATGTTGTTGATTTTCTTAAGATCATCTATGTCCTTTCCCTCAGCTATTAGTCTTCTTGACACATCATCCATCTTGTTTCCAGTTTGAACTTCAAAATGGAAAACAGACTGTGTTACATAGGTTTCCAATGTGGTCCATCAAGACTCGTCAGAGCCCTGTGTTGGTGCTCAGGTGAGCACTGAAAGGCCCTCTAGGCAAATCCCCTCCTCCAACATCCCACACAGCCCAGAAGCCCCAGAGAGAAATTGCTGAAGACTGAAGTTATCTATCAAGTGAATTATTTTTACTGCTTCTTGGTGCCAGACTAGACTACCTTTGGCAGCTCTGCACAGATTTTGGCGGAGAAAGACATCGCTGTGAGCAACAGAAAGAAACCCATGTGTCTGATTATTCCCAGAGCAGTGATTGTTACATTGTCTCATTTGAGACCCATTCTCAGAAAAGGTTTTCAGTCCTCATCTGGGAAATGAGAATTTTTGGGTTCCAGCCTATTTTGACATAGCTCTGCTGGTTCTGAATTACCAGCACACAATGAATGTGTAATAATTCCTCTCAGACCACCCTGAGAGCAGAGAGACAATATTTTCAAAATAAACAGAACCCCTGGTAATAGAGTAAGCTAGGGAATGGAACATACGGAGGTCTGTTTATCAGAGTCAAAATTTCCAAGAAATGCAGCACAAAATCAGCACTCAATTAATAGTTGAGCTTCTTATCATTTCCATTTCAGAAAGGTTTTTTCCAAGGTATCTTTCAGGAACTAATAATGTTAGTAACACACTATTGGGTTTAGCCAATAAACTGACGTGGAAAGGTAAACTAGATGTTAGAGCTTCACCTTCCAACCTTGGGACAAATTATTGCCCAGAGCTGCTTCTCCCCCATATCTGAAAAATTATGTTGGATGAATTATAGTTCAAGACATGAGGGAAGAGTCTTAATTGAGCTTCGCTGCAGAGCGAGGCAGAGCTACCACTGGCTTCTGGGGAAAAGTGTGAAAATGAAGTAAATCCAAAACATGTGATGTCCTTTCCCTTCTTGGGAACCTCCTACATTAATCAAACACAGAAGGAAGTAGCAGCCATGTTGGCCTCAGTCTGTTCCACAATACACTGGTTGCAAATTAAATTCCAAAGAAGAAAAAGGATTCTATGTGCAAAAAAATTAGAGAAAAATTATATACTAATATGCCTCTTGGAAATTCACAAGATTAAAAATAATCCCTTGAGCATTACCTAACCCAGCAATTCTCAAACTCATTTGATCAGAGAACCCTTTTTTTTCTTTAGGCAATACTTAGTAACATCCCACACGCCTAATATTCTCTGGAATACACCGCTTGGCCGCTCGAAACTGCTACCTGGGGCCACACAGGCATCCAGAGTAATCTGCTCTTGCTGTCCATTATTCCTCTTTAGGACTGAGATTGTGACAAAAACGTAAGGCCCAATGGTTTCATAAGAATGTAGTCAGTATAAAATAGTCTTATTGCTCTTGCACAAAAATGCCAGAGTTATAAAGAATACACGAGTTCTTGCACTTCAGTTAAAAGGATGCAAATTGCACTGAATCCCACTGACAGCAAAAAGGTTTCCTTGTTAAAGATGAGCACAGGTCAAGTTCATTCGCAGATGCCTGTGCCAGCTGTGGTCTTAGGTTGTCTGAAAACTGCAGGAAGCCTTTATTATGACTTCAACATAGGCAGTGGGGTGCAGGCAACCTCTGGAGGCAGGCAGGCCGGGGTGTGAATCCCAGTTCTGCCTCTTATTAGCTGGGTAAACGTAGAGAGGTAATCTCTCTGGGCCTTAGTCTTTCATTACTAAAATAGAAATATTAGACACTACCTTGAGGGGTAGAGTAAGGATTTAAGATAAAGAATTTAATGTGTCTGGCGCACAGTAATTGTCCGATAAAAAGACATTCTTCCTTATTCACGTCCTCTTTCTGTTTCTTACTTGATATAAATTTGCCCTCAATATAAAACACTACAAGCAAATATAAATTCTATTTATACCAGAGGAGTATGAAAATGGTGATAAAGCGCCTGGTCTTTCATGTCAGGCAGGAGTGTCTTTGAGCCCTGATTCCAAGCTCATTAGCTGTGTGACCTTGGGCATGTTAATTAATCTCAGCCTCAGTTTCAGCATCGATAAAACCAGAATCATAATAGACCCTACACTATAGCGTTGTTACGAGGTTGTGCACAAGCTGACCTCAAGTGCTCAGCCCAGCACCTGGGACAGAGTGAGCACCCAATATACAGCATCTTTGTATCATCATTACCCTCAATCTTACTACTTATCATTCCACAGAAGAGAGAAGTTCTTTGGGTTGCTCCCAGGTCAGTAGGCATTCCTAAAATTTCCCAAGTTTAACTCAGTCATTACCCCAGATGGGTGTGGTGTGATGATCTTTGGAGCATTAATTTATGTTGAAACAACATTTCAAAAGAGTAATCTATGTGCTTTTTTTCCGGCCCTGCAGGTTCAGGGCCAACCCTCCTGCAACTGATACTCAGAAGCAAGGCCACCATTACTGTAAGGATAGTTCCCACTGTAGCTTCTCAGTGCAAAAGGGCATCAGCTGGGTGAGAGAGAGGCAATTAAACAGAGCCAGAAGTTCCCCACCAGCCCCAACGCCCAGGCCAGATAAAGACCTTTAAGATGGAAGGAGGAAGGAGTTTGGGGGGAAAAAGGGATTAGAAGCTGTAAAAGAGTCATGCCCCTGCCTACCTCTCTCCACCCATCATCACCACTACCTCCTCTAATCCTGAATGAACGCAAATTAGCCGCATTCCAAGGACGTGGGCTCCACTTCTCATAGAGGATTTTTGAAGGCTGCAAGGCCTGCAAAGCATGAAAAGGCAGAAGAAATGATAGTGTGGTGGATCCAGGCGAAATGTGTCCAAGATGACTCCCCCCTCTCAGGCTCCTTCCACTTTTTTTGTGTGTGTGAGGGAGATCAGCCCTGAGGTAACATCCATTCCAATCCTCCTCTTTTTGCTGAGGAAGACTGGCCCTGGGCTAACATCCATGCCCATCTTCCTCCACTTTACATGGGACGCCGCCACAGCATGGCCTGACAAGCGGTGCATCGGTGCGCGCCCAGGATCCCAACCCCGGCCGCCAGCAGTGGAGCATGGGCACTTAACGGCTCCACCTCGGGGCCAGCCCCTCCTTCCACTTTTAAGGGGGGGTGGGAGGGAACGAAATAATTCCAGGTGATGGCACACAGGGGTTAGGTGAGAGAGAATACTGGTGGGTGGGGGCGACGTGCAGAAGGAGGGGACAGCATCACAAGCGGACAGCACCCCACCCCCATCCACAGCAGAGAGGAGAGTGGCACTGAGACCTTGGGGATCTCTTGGCTGAGGACCTGTGTGGGAAAGCCTGGGTCGCCACTCAAGGGCACCACATTCACACATAGGCAGGGCAGGTTGTATCAGAAGCAGGAGGCCAGCAGGAAAGAAGCCAGCCTCCTCACATCCCCAGGACTGCCTCTGGTGCTTCTAATTGATTTCTGGCAAGTGAGAAAACCTGGAAAGGAGTTTGAAACCTGAATGTGACTATATGTTACAGACCTGAATTAATGGAAGAATCTATGCATTGGATTAAAAAACCTAGAATTAACCAGAATAAGCTGCCTACCATTTGACAGCTAGGGACTCCAAGTGAGAAACTGAAGTGTTTCAGAAATATTTAATGTACGTGTTTGTGAACTTCCGGCACTGTGGGCTTATGTAGTGGGTGTAGGCTGCAGCCACCCTGCCCCCGGTGAACAAGAGCATTCGCCCTGGGCGTTCATTTGCCCTCTCTCTCTCCGTATAAGCACTGATTGCCAGAAAGCATGGACTTGTTACAGGAGCAAAGTGAGACAACCAGCTATGAAGGCAGTGCATGTAAGTAATGAAAAACCTGTCCGTGGTACTTACCTATTAGAAATATCACGAAGGAAACCAGTGCCAGGCTAATGATCAGCACGATTATCAGCCCCACAAAAAACAGACTGTGGCTTCCATTTCCTGAGTTAGTGCCAACGTCTGGGATTTTCTCCTCTAGAGCTAATAGGAAACAAACAACGACAAAAACTCATCAGCATACAGCACACCAGCAGAACCGAACAGTCCCCCATTAGTAGAGATTCGAGTAAGGGATACGACCATTTTCTCTCCAATCACTCTAGAAAGTGACATGTTTTAGGAACCTCTGGGCGGGATACTCTTTGTGAATTTTTTACCTTCTTCTATACCGGTATTCAAAGAAGAAGCAGAGTGAAGTTATCTCCTTACCCCTGTTTGGGGGGTGGGGGAGGGGGATTGGATAAAGAAGTTAGGGGTTAAGAGTGATGGAGGCTTTATTGCCCTTTTCCCAAAGTGACCCAGGAGTAAAGCACAGCTGGCTGTGGGACACCTCCCCTGCATGCAAAGCTGAACACTCTGGGATATCTCCCAGGAAAGTCCTTTACCGTAGGAATAATCAGTTATGCCTACACCCATTTAAACAAAAAATGGCCCTGATGTGTTTCTTAAAGCTGTTTTCAGGATGGACATGTTCTGGAAGCAAGGTTCTTTTAAATGTCTTGCTGTTGAACTGAGAATGCAGCCACACTTATAAAACAGCTTTGTTTACCCACTTCACCATAAATTGTCTTCATTGGGTTATCATTTTGTAAGGCCTATTTGCCTAATAACACCCAAATTAAATTGAATAAGACATACAGAAACTTGGGGAATGGAGACCCTTGGTTGCTTTCTATATTCTCTCCTACTTCGCCTCAGTTCCACACACTGCTACTTGATTACAGATAGATGAGTGGCTCATGTCCCGTGCTTTTAAGTACATCCTGTGTCAACCTCTCAACGGCTTTTGCTTCCTAGTCAAAGCAACAGAATCTGCTGGCACCCAAACATCTACTTTTATTGAGACTGACTGCAATAAAAACAGGTGGAAATCTGAACACATTCTGATGAAGAAAAAAGCAGGAACTCAGAAAGAATTTAGAAGGGGAATAATAGATATAAAATTGGGACAATAAGAGTTTAGAATGCATATGAAACAAATGGCAAGTGGACAATTAACACCTGTGTTTGAATGTCAGTGTTTAAGCTAGAAAAATGGGGCTCAGAATGCTCTAATAGAACTCCTTTACAATATTTAGGGGACAAGATACACATTTAGTACTTAGCAGATTTTTATTGCTTCATTCACCCTTTTCTAGGCCTTTAATTGGGACAATTCGTAATTTGTAAGTAGAAAATGAAGTTGACTTTTTGTCCAACAAAATTTTAATGATATTTTTAAAACTGGATGAATGTTTGGAGCATTTTCTCAGCAATCAACAATGAAGTAAGATCCCTCTAGGAAAGCAGGCACCATCAGTGACCTGGCTGTGGTCACTAGAAGGCACGACAGCAGCGGAGAGAGATAACCAAGCCTCTGGGAGACCAGCTCTGCAGCCTCCTCCCCTTTCCAGGGAAAGAAACTCCACAGGGAATTCTCAGAACTTTTGAAGACAAGCATTCAATTCTTGCTTTGTAACCAAGAGAGCCCATAAGTCATCAAGTATTCAAAGAACAAAAGCAAAAATTGCCTAATAATAAATAGCATTTTCATTGCCAGGCTGTTCCTAATGCCCACCCCGCACCCCCCCCACACCCCCAGGTCCAGATTAGCATTTGCTATTTTTAGGTGGCCTAGAAGCCAGGAAAGGCCACCAAGCCTTGGAGGGCACACATACGGAACAGATGCTGCGAGCCGGCAGGATAGAGGTTTAGTTTGTTTAGGTCGTTTATCGAATCCACAACATAAAGCTTTCTATCTTCATAAATGCCGCGAGAGCCAGTGTCCTGGGAAGAATGATTCATTGTCCCTGAAAGGAAACACTGACGTTAAGTAAGAGGCTGGTCTGGGGAACTCAGCTCCGCAAGAATCACAGCCTGCAGGAGACTGGACAGGCATGGAAAGAACCACCCACAAATATTATTTCCAACTGAAGGTCTAGAAAAGCTTTGCTTGTCCGGAAGAAAATATTTCCTTCTGGGGACAACTTTGTAACTATTCTTTTTGCTTTGCTTGCCAGGAAGCTCAGAGTCCAGCGTGTGGCCCAATGTTAAGAACTGTACGGTGCTTGATACACTGCTTATCTGCCTATGCTCTTACCTCCTCTTCAGATTTCTCAATTCTGTCTACATTTTCTCTGGGCCTGCTTTTCATTTCGTAATTGATTTAAAAATTTTTCTCTCTTACTACATTGTTCATATTCTGGGGCAACGCCTCAAATCCCTTGTGCAAGGAGACTATATATAAACATATAGGAAGATAAACTTAAGCTAGTTGGCCTGTGGCCATAGAGATTCTGAGAGAAGAGAACATTACTGTGACGCATTCTAATTGCATGAGGCTTTAATACAAAGCTGTAATTTTTATATTCTCCCTCAATATGGTATGTGAGGCTCTACCTTAAAATGTATCCTTTAACCATTAGATGCTGGCTGTGAATCTTCAAGACCAAATCTTAGCAAGCTTAGATGTTGTAAAGAGGAATCCTGCAGCAGTCGGAGGCTACAGGCCAGGACTTCTGAGGTCTCTTCCCCTGAGTTTCCTCAGATTGAGGTCACTTACGTAATAAGTAATTTTAAAATTGAGGTTTACATTTAAGGTAATATTCTAATGACAGCACAACTTCAAGCAACACTGACAAGCCTGCTATTTTAAGATCTCTCCAGAGCACAACCGAGAATCTGTGGCCTTTTAATTGCATGAAAAGAAGGCTCTAGGAAGACAAAATACAATGACTATAAAAGCTTTCTCTTTTATCATTATCTCTTTTCATAAAATGAGTCTAATAGTGATATAGGATTTTTTTGATCTGGAAAGGATTTTAGACGTGCTCTCCTTTAGCCCCCATCCTTTCCACAAATGAGGAAATGGAAGCTCAGAGGGTAAAGACATTTCCCTAGCTGCAGAGCTGGAAGCGGCCTCTTGCTTCAGAGTTCCCTGCACCTTCCCTTGTGCTACTACACTCCTTCTCTACATCCCTCCCTAATCCTCTCTCAGGACTCAGCTCAAACCTCACCTCCTCTAAGAATCAACCTGTCTTTCCTTTGTGCCCTTGCTGGTTGTGCCATTCTTCTATCAGAACACCTATAATATTTTATCTCATTTATTTGCTTACATCTTTGACTTCCCCAATTAACTGAAAACTCCTTAGGGTCAGCACCAATCCTATTCTTCAAATGCCCAGGGCCAACTTTAGAAGCCAGTGACTTATGTTAAGTTGGAGCACTTAAAATATTTTATTTGGGGTTTAAATCTCACTATTTTCAAAAGAATTTGAGGCAGTTAATAATAAGGACACTAACAGAAATAAAACTGAGGGTAAAAGTCCTCACGTGACATCTTTCCAGACTTTTAGTAAAGTCAAGGCAATAAACTTCATGCCTGCCTATATGTGGCAACACAGTGTTTACTTCCTGTTAACATTTTAAAAATTTCCTCTAATATCCAGCCACAGAATAAAGAGAAATATAATTAGAGTTAGGAGAAACCAAATTCAGAAAAAAAGGATATGAACACCTATAAAAGATCTGAAAAAAAGCATCAGCCATTTACTAAATAACTTAAACTGCACTCTAAAATATTAAAAGCCAGCAATTTCCCAGTAATACCTAAAACCTATTAGTACTTGTAAAAAATGTGCTCCCAGAACCCTAGCTAAGAAAAACAGTGAGCTCAAAAAGTCATGGACTAATTAAATTTTTTTTCAATCAAGATTAAAAACTAAAAAGGGTGTTTCAGTTATCCTGAAATTTTAATGAACAAGAACACATAATTCCATCAGTATTTTAGGTAAGGTACTACTGAAGCACTTTATATATTGATGTTATTGAACTCCAAATTTACTTCATGGAGCATTCATAAGTGAACGACTTTAAGTGGCAAAAAAAAAAAAAAAGAAGTAACAGCCCATGGAGTAGAGAGGCCTTAGAGATCAATCAAATCTCATCATTGTATAGATAAAACCAAAAGTGTTAACTAATGCATGGTCACAGATTCCTAAACTATTTTTCTCGAAATTTTTTATATTTTATCATCTTTTATACTTTATTATCCCAAATACTAATATTTGATGAGGAATAAAGGTTGTATGTGTCACATCATAGGATCCTCGTTCCAAACACAGCTTCTATTTTAGTCTGGGTGACTGATGCATGGTTCATTTTTGGATCTCTGACTTAATATCTTTGAGCCTTAGCTTCCCCTTTAGGAATGTAATTACTATTGCTTAAATCTCATACTGAGGCTTAAAGAACATTTACAAAGTGGAGGACTAGCTAGAAAATCATAGCCACAAAAACTGACTTAAGAGCAGTGCAGCTAATAAAATCTCCAAATTATTGGCCTTGCTACCAACTCAAAAGGTGACTCAATGCAACATCAAATCCAAAAGCACTAAGACAACAACTTAGAGAGAGTGCTCTGAAAAAAAATTTCTTCTTTAGGGTAAAGTCACAACGTAAATAGATGCTATTTCAACGTGTTTTAAAATTATGTGCAACATGCAAATGGTAAAAAAAAGAACTAGTAGAGGAAACTGAGTTAGGTGTGGTTCATGGCCACCAAGAGCTTGCAAATGACTCTGCAAGTAAATGGATACAAGATCACATGGCCCTAAAACCAGGACCCACAGCTGTTTGACACCCAGTTGTTGCTATCTTTGGTATCTCCATATGAGGGCATCTGGGAACAACCAACAGGGCTGGAAAAGCCAGTGTTACTAAATTCTGCATTGCTCTAACTCGACCCTCCTTCCCGACTCTGGTGTGCAAATTTGCTCATTAAGTAAGATTGACCAATACAGCATTCTTTTAATGGAACCCTTTCTAATACCTTGTGCTGAAACATGTAAGTAATTTCATTTTCCTCCCGTTTAGATCAATGCTAACCGCTAATTCTTTTTGTCTTGTAAGAATTCTTTGACTACCTACAAATAAATATTCTGACAAATTATAGTTGCCTATGAAAAATTGCTTCGCTCTTTATTTTTTCTCGTAGGTGCTCGGTATCAAACCACAGAAATAACTCACACGAGTATTGCTTGCTACAAAATCAGAATTGTTATAATAGGGCTTAATTCAAAGCTAATAGGAAACTTTATTGAGTGAGTCGTGGTAATTTGTTCTTTAATCTTATTTCAGAGTCAGTGCCTCTTCAGATTCAGGAAGTAATTTTTAAATCAACTCTAAATCATTTCTATCAAAAGTTAAAAGCACAGAACACATGCAACAAAAAACATATCAGCCTCAAGAATCATAATTCAGTCTCAGTAGAGGAATAGCATGCAAATTACTTACAAAAATGTGAGCTTTCACTGCTAGGTTACCAGAAAAACAAAAACAACTAATTATTCGGAAGCAACTACAACAAAATTTTCTACAAATTCTGTATTTCCTTCTTTGCCTTCCATCAGCACACGGGTGCTCCTAGAAGGCCCATAAACCCAGCATGAAACTGTTGGTCTATATTTAGTGTTAATTTAGCCAAGCAGTGTAAGATTCCATATACTGACTTTCTTCATAATGTCTAAGGTTTTTAGTAAATATATTACTGATACTATGCTTTAAAAAGAAAAAAACCACCATTCCTTGATGAAATTGGTAACTGATGAGGTTCTTATGGGACTGAAGTTAATGTCCTTATTTGGCCGACACAACCGTGTAAGCTGACACACTTCCAGCACTTCTGCCACGGTATGCTCCATATATAAATATCTGGTAGCAGGATGGAGCTGCCACTCTGACAACTAACTTGCACAGGACTACCAGACCAACCAGAGGACTACAATAAAGAGGGACAGGATAAGGTTGTGACATTAAATGAGGATGATGCAGGTCAGAGGACTCCTAGGGCTTCCAGTAGCTACGAAAAAAGATTGTGAGTGGGAGATCGTCTGGCTACAGACCCACTGCAGGTGACGGAAGCACTTTGTCTCATCAACGTCCTTTCCTTTTCGAAGGCTTTATTCTGTGACTTTTTATGCATCTTCTTTTCTCAGGAATGTCAGCCTTTCTCTTATGTGGTTCCCTCACACACATGCCAAGGAGCTTCTGCCCTCTGGTGTACATAAAAGAAGCTACAGTGAGGAGGAGACCTGCAATCCCATAAACCCAGATCCTAGACCCCAGGGACGAACTATCCCAGCAGGACACTAAGGGTTAGGTGATAAACTGATATATAATCCCTTATAATCCTACCTTCCATGGCCATGACTAGATGGACATTATTCATCCTTGAAACACATTGCATGTCAAGTAGAAAATATTTGCTCCATAAAATTTCCCTCACATCTATAGTATCCAGTATAGACCTCACTCTACTTTTGGGAAAAAGGAACATCATTTTCTTAAGCTTCATCTACACCCGAGGAGCAATTCATGAAGTAGGACAAGATAATTAATAACTGTTTTCTCAGACGCAGATTATACGTTAAAAAGCTATGCCAAATTTCTTGAAAAATGAAAATGTTTGTTAGCTATTATTTTAATTATCATGCCCAGTTTAAAAAATAATCTCCCAACTACCTGATCTATCTTAAACCATCTATCCTTTGAAGAAAAATAGAATAGCCACATTTTGAGCATTTACTGTGTGTTTTTCTCTCTCCTGTAACTTTACAACCCTGTGATCCAATCCCTCAGGGATGAGGAAAATGGACACTAAGCAATTCCTCACACCGTAGTCTGAATTCCATGTTTCACCATATTTTACAACAGTGAAGGGAATGAGATTTTTAATGGCTTGTGACCAGTTAGACTTATGAGAACCACTTAAGAGCACAGCAAGGTAACCTACCTCATTTTATCTACTATGTACCTGAAGACTTTTGGGTCACAAGAAGAAAATAGGTATTCTCACCTGAACTGTTTAATCTGGGGACATTTTCAAGTATTTCTTGCTTTTTCTTTCAAATATTATATCTCACTGTATCTAGATTAAACTCCCAGGAAATTCAGTAAATGCTATCAAAGACTTGAGTCACAGATGCTCATTGCTTCAAAATTTATGCTTGAGCCTCAAAATAAAGAACTTATTAGGCAGGGACCATTTCAAACTCCTTTAAACCAGCAAAATTAACCAAGAATCCAGGAATGAACTGGTCTATCATACACCATTTTACTAGTTTCAAGAAAACTCAAGCATTCTTACACATTGAATCCCCAGTAAATCTGTCCAGCAAATACCCATCAATTCCATGAATAAAAAAAAAAAATCTATAAATTTAATATGCAGATTAACATGTTTATCTCTTCTTCCTCCTAAAACCCCAGTAAAAAGGCAGAATAGGTAAAAATTACAAAACCACAAGAATGAAAATAGGAGAAAGCAATGGTGAACAAGATTTCAGCAAATGTATTGAATAGCAAAAGGAGGGAGTATTTGGTACCTGCCTTAGCAGACCTCCGGAGAATTATCCCTGATGAGTGATGTGACTGATCCCGCTTAATTCAGGCAGGCTCAGGAACTGGAGGCAACAGTGAAGTATGGCGCTAAACACAGGCAGGTAATTTCATGTTAGCCAAAAATAAAATGCAATAGAAGATTGGAAAACCATGTTACGTAAACCTCTCAGAAAGAAAAAGAAATGAGCAAGAAAGAAATAAGCCCAGTGGCTCAATCCAGCAGCTCTAGTATGTTGAGTTCTAGAACAAAGAAAATGGGGGGGGGGGGGGGGAGCATGGTCAAGAACTTAAAAATATTTTCCAGATTACCAGAGCCCACCAAAGCACAGTATCACCCAATTTTAGAACACTAGAGACAAAGTGATTCTAAAAGCAAAAGAAAACAAAGAAATCAGAAACAAAAATCACATCAGATATTGCAACACTTGACAATTGGAAGACAATACAACAATGCCTTCAAAATTCCGGATTTGATTTTCTATCTGGAACTTTATATACCAAGCCAAACTATCTTTCAGACATATAAAGTCTCAAAATAATCAGCCTCCCACTCACCCATTCCCAGAAGTTACGAAGGAAGTGTTCCACTTTAACAAGAAAATGATCTGACATTGAAAACATGGGGTCTAGGAAATGTGAAATCGAACCCAAGAGAGGAAAACAAATCCCAGGATGATGAAGTCTCAGGAAACAGCTGTATACTCAGACAAGAAAGAAATTAGCGCAGACTGAAACAAGAAACAAGAGTTCTGCTGGGCTTTGACCAGGTGGAAAACAGATTCAAGAAGAGTTTTATATATTTATTTAGGATTAAAAAGAATTAGTGGTATACGTAAAACCAAGATAAAATGTTCTGAGAATTGAAATGTACACACAGCAACTATCTAGCTCAGTAATGAACATGGAAATATGGTCACTATGATGCAAAAAATGATGCATTGGGAGAATGAGAAAGGAAAAGTAAAAAGGCAGAAATTTTCACCTAGCAAATAGGAAGTTGGCAGATGTCTAAAAATAATAACCAGTTGTAGAAGCATATTAGAAACCAGAAACCCAAGTACTAGGAAAAAACTAAAGGCTGAAATGCCTTCTGGGATGGGCCTGAGAAATGGGGAAGGATGGAGCAGGGAGCTAACTTTTTTTCTTATAAGCCTTGAAGTTATCTATTAAACTATATGTGTGTGTGTGTGTGTGTGTGTATATATCACTTCAATAAAAATTCATTTTTATTTAAACATATGTATACATATACAAAATTGAAAATCTAGGAAAAAACACTATCTGTAATCTCTTTCCCATGATTCTAACCTACTTGGATACAAATGACAACATGCAAACCCAAGTTCTAGATTTCCAATTGGTTTTCCAGTGCACTCTGAGGGATAGAGCTCACACTCCCAGGGGGTGCTCCATAGGCCAGCCAGTGATTTTCAACTAGGGGACACATCAGACCTTCCAGCTGTTGTTGGGGAAGTGGGAGAGGAAGAATGCTAGTTTGGAGCAAATACCTCCAGTGATTTTGGTACTTCTCTACAGTGTACATGCTTCCCTAACCCTCACCCCTCTTTTCACTGTTTTTCTGCACTAATGTCAAAGACATAAGTCTAGGAATCTTGAACTGCAAATGTTGCCTGTGTAACATAATTTGTGTACACATTAATAAAATCCTAATGTATTGTCAAAATGCATTTCATAAAGTGAAAAATCACCTCATAGGGGTATCGAAGCAGCAACAGTCTTAAAAGTCAGTAACTGGAATCCCAATAATATATTGCTTCATTTTTTCGTCTATTTTCATGTTTCCAAACATACAAAGTAAGTCTCATCTCACTCTCTCCCTACCTGGCTTGGTCATTTTGAACTCTGTACCTCAAAACCATAAATAATGTTTCTTTATTAGAAAAGAAGCACTTTCAATGTGAAAAGATTTTTATTTCAAAATAAAAGAGTACAAGGTCTTACACAGCAGATAAAATTAGTGTTACTGCCCTCAGAGGTCAAGGTTAGCAATCCATGCGCTAATTCATCATGATTCCCAATAGCTGGTCTGCACTTAAGTGCAACTGTAAGGTCTCATGGTTTAATTCCCTTTGTTGATCACAGTGACAAAATTAAAATTATTAGGTTCCATTTGAAATTAAAAATATAGCAGCTTTTCCAGAAGAACTAGCTCCCAAAATTGTATCCAAAACTCATTTGTCTAAGATTTTAAGTTAAATACTTTGTATATCTATACCAGAACAATCAATATTTTTGACAACCACAGTACAAGAAATTTAATCTTGGCTAATAATTTTTCTCATCAGGAAATCATGTAAAATCTCCTATTTTTGCTTTCTTCATAAATAGAAAATGACCAAACATTACAAATACTTTATTCATGTTTACTGATATTTACAGAGAATATTCAATAATCAGAACTCACCATTTGTAACACTGTACATTAAATTATAATATAAACCCTGCTACAAAAGCTATCTATGTTGACCCAAGATAAAAACTGTCTCTAGAGTTTAAATACATTAGAAATTACAAAAAAAGAAAAAATTGGAAATTAGAAAGTAGTTTTCAAGTGTTGAAAATCTAGAAGAATTCTCCAACATCTGCTCTCTTATCTCGACATTTGCTTCGAGCTTTTGTTCGAGCTTTGAAGGCTGCAGAATTATATAAGTGCTAAAACAAAGAAAAGGAAAATATATGTGAGTCACTAAGGCTTAAGATATTCTTGCAAAATAATAAAAAAAGATAAATAAAAATCACAAAGGAAAGAAATGAACTAATTCAGCCCTAGAAATATTTTAAATGTTTATGAAACACATAGACACAAAGAACAAGAGGGAAAACTAACATATATAATAGCTAATGGCTATCTATATTAAGAAAAGTACTAATCAAATATGTAAAATACCAAAAAAATTCCAGTGAGAAAGTAACAAAAAGTACATCAACATTTAATCTGATCAAGGAGAAGATAAATCACAAACTAATGTAAACAAAATGTCCAACCATGCTATCATTTAAAATGAGGAAAAATATGAGGTTCCATTTTAATACCAATTAACAAATATTTAAAATTATAAAACCCAATGCTGTCAAATATGTGCATAATAGCTACATGCTTTGATTCCTTGCTGGAAACAATTAAAAATGACAGAATACCTTTGGAAGGTAATTTGGCAATACATATCAAAAAGTCATAATCCAGCCCTGTACTCCATGCAAGGATTTCTTCCAAGAAATAATTCAAAGGAGAAAAGTATGTAAAAATATTAACATTTATTAAAAACCCAACAATTATACGGCCATAAAAATGACTAAAGACTATAAAAATATAATTAAGCAGTTCACAGCCACTAGGATGGCTATAATTTAAAATAAAAAAACAAAAACAGAGAATAACAAGTGTTAGTAAGGATGCAGAAATTGGAACCCTCATATACTGATGGTGGGAATGTCAAAGGGTACAGATGCTGTAGAAAAGAGTTTGATAGTTCCTTAAAAAGTTAAACATAGAATTACCACATGACCCAGCAACGCCATTTCCTAAGTATATACCTAAAAGAAGTGAAAACAGGTACTCTAACAAAAACTTGTACACAAATGTTCATAGTAGAACCATTCACAAGGGACAAAAAGTAGAAACAACCTAAATGCCCATCAACTGATGAATGGATGGATAAATAATGTGTAGTCTATCCATACAATGGAATCTTACTTGGCCACAAAAGGACGGAAGTACTGATATCTGCTACAATATGGATGAACCTCAGCAACATCATGCTAAGTGAAAAAAGCCAGACACAAAAGGTTCTATTTACATGAAATATCCAGAACAGGTAAACCCATAGAGACAGAAAGCACATCAGTGCTTGCAAGCAGCCAGGCGTGGGGAGCGACTGCTTAACGGGTATAGTTTCCTTTTGAGGTGATGAAATGTTTTGGAACTAGACAGAGGTGATGGTTGTGCAACATGGTGAATATACTAAATGTCACTGAATCGTACACTTTAAAACA